CATCTGAAACACAAGCCCCAAAGTGGACTAGCAGTAAGCTTGAGGACTTAAAACGTCAAAATTTGGGTTCGGTACTCGCTCTGGCCACAGTGCAGATAGCCCATTGTTTAGCTTTGCGCTTAAAATTAAACAAACAAACTGAACCACGCTTCTTTTCTTCCTGCTGATATTTCATTCCTCAGTAAAATGTGGCGGAATATTTTTACCCTTAGTGACACGATACTCTTCAAATAAATAAAATGTGACCGTAGAAACCTGTAAAATACGCATGTAAAAAAGATTTCAACGAAAATTTACAATTCATTTCATATATATGCATAAGTGTCTTAGCCTTACTGAGACTTTATTCTGAAAGTATAGATAAATTATACATTGATAAAGAAACCAAGCATATTACCCAATGTATGCATGTTAGATGAGAGGCCGGACTAGTGATTAGTGTGCTCGGAATGTGAATCCGAGGGTTGTGGTTCACAGCCCACTGCTGCGGAATCGCGTGCCACATTCTGGAGCTATGAATGCTCTATAAGAATAACGGTAAAATCCCACTTTTCATTTACACAAGAGTTGGCGGTGGGCGTTACTGACTAGCTTCCTTCCCTCTTGTCTGAAGCTCAGCATTAGGGAAGACTATATACAGATAACTCTTACGTAGCTTCGTAGAAAATTCTGAAAGAAATAAGCAAACAAAAGCAGCAGATGATCCAAGCATTAACTAATCTCTTCCCAGAAACCGGAAAATTAAATGTTATCAAAATCATTTTAATGACCTTGAACTTTAATCTAACCTCAAAATCAAATTTCTTTGAAGGGAATTGAAGGACGGATTATATGTATCAGACTAATAATTCTTATTTCATATATGTTTCAGTTATTGCATGAACGAAACAAAGACATATATAAAACCAACGTTCTTACCTTGAAATTCGCCCTTTGGACATTAAATGTATCTATATTACAATACATTAACTATGCTTGGTGATTTGATTCTTATCCATTTCTTAGTTATCATGTAAAAGAACAAATATAACTGACTCCTATCATTCGTGTCAATATAAAAAAAATATCTCTTGTCAGACTCATATGGATAATGTCACCACTGTTGAAACAGTGTCAGTTGAGAACAAAAAATAAATAAACTTATGTGCCAAGTTTAGATTGCCTTACACTTCATGCTTGGAAACACGTATGTCGTGCCACCTGGAGCTCCGTTTTGTTTTGATTGTAGAATTACTTATGTGATCAATACTAGTATTTTTGGTATTTTCTTGGAAAGTGGCTGTTTTAACAAAATATTATAAAATTACTCAACAATGTGTGTGGAGCTCCATCGATGGTGAACAGCATAAAAACAAGTAAGTAATTTGAAGGGTAAAGAAGGAGTAATAATACAGATTTTTTAAAATTTGCGAGATTTACATTCTACGACAGTGGAAAGTGGGTGTTTTAATAAAAAATAATAAAATTACTTAACAATGTGTGGAGCTCCATCGATGGTGAACAGCATAAAAACAAGTAAGTAATTTGAAGGGTAAAGAACGAGTAATAATACAGATTCTTAAAATTTGTGAGATTTACATTCTACGACAGTAAAGTAAAATAAATGTGTGGTCATTTAAACGCACCTTTTAATAGTAATATTTCTAATTATCCAGTAAATGTTAATCATGGAAACCTTTAGCACCGTCGATATTTTTAAACATGGTCAATTAGCCACTAAATTCGAGTTATTCCAAAATTATCTTATAAGCGACGTGACACCTTAAATTATTCATTAAATCAAGGCAACAATATCTCACTCATAAGAAAATATCTCACAACCAAAGTAAAACACCAAATATATAGCCTTGCTTCTAATAATTTCACTCTAATTTAGCCAAAGCAGTACAGTTTCACATGTTACCAAGAGAGGGAGCCGCCACATAACCAAGGCAAGAAACTAAATATTTGGATACACTTCAGAGACCACTGGGAACTACCACAATATGAAGGTAGATATAATCAACATAGTTTAAGTAGTTACTATGGAATAACCAACAATCAAGAAAAAAAAATACCAACAGCACTTTTCAGTTGTCACCAGAACAAGGAAAAATACCAACACCACGTTTTAGTTGTCGCCAGAACAAGACAAAATACCAACAGCACTTTTCAGTTGTCACCAGAACAAGGGAAAATACCAACAACACCTTTTAGTTGTCGCCAGAACAAGAAAAAATTAAAACAGCACTTTTCAGTTGTCACCAGAACAAGGAAAAATACAAACAACACGTTTTAGTTGTCGCCAGAACAAGAAAAAATTACAACAGCACTTTTCAGTTGTCACCAGAACAAGGAAAAATACCAACAGCACTTTTCAATTGTCACCAGAACACGGAAAAATACCAACAACACGTTTCATTTATTTGTCACCAGAACAAAGGAAAATACCAACAACACGTTTCAGTTGTCACCAGAACAAGGAAAAATACCAACAACATCGTTAGCACTAGTAATTACCTCACAATAAAGTAAAAAATACCAACAACATCGTTAGCACTAGTAATTACCTCACAATAAAGTAAAAAATACCAACAACATCGTTAGCACTAGTAATTACCTCACAATAAAGTAAAAAATACCAACAACATCGTTAGCACTAGTAATTACCTCACAATAAAGTAAAAAATACAAACCCTTGCTTTCCTTAGAAGATTTGTACACCCAAGAATACAGTTACGCTTCCCAATAGGAACTAACTTGTCACTATGATACTGCACAAACAAACCAGCTATACACAAGTAAAGCATTCACCAGAAATAGATTTTATGCCCAACCAAAGTAAAACACCGAAAGACAGACACAGTCTTAAGATGATTATTGAATCAAGTTAGAGCTTTAGCAGTAACACAATACCTCAATCGTCGATATGCACTATTCCATCATCATGGTTAACGACACTTGCGGTGACTGAAATTGTGCCTCCGAACGATCTGACGTCAACGTGAAGACATTATCATGCTGTAATTTTGTCTATACTTGTAACGAAGACACAAGATTACAAAATGTACGTGGAAAGTGCTACATATTGTAAGTTTTATCAGTAGTGACGTTGCACAGTGTTGTTATAGAAACCAAAGATTTGAACTTGTAATCAAGCTCACTTACAGTATGCGTAACTCGCGAACTAGGTAGTGTGACTTTTTTACTTTAATTTGAATTTTATCGTTATAATGTTAAAATGGAGTCCACTTAGCTGTATTTGTTCGCGTACATTCACGTTCTAACTCTATTATATATATATACATATTTCTCTGTAGGTTCGGAGGTAAAACGGTCACTTGTTAAAAACATCCCGCGTGAAACAAACTAAAAGGTTAATTATAACACTTGGCCATTAGATTATCACGAAGCCACTTTCTAATTGTTAATCCGTGAAACCGGTAAATGAAACAAAATAAAAGAGAACTTAATAGACTTCTGTAATATGTATCATCTATATTCAACGTGAAAAAGTGATATACAGTAAATTAAGATTAACGTTATGTTTCAGTTATATAAACACACTAAGCCTAAGAAACTTAAGAGGAACGGCCTTGATTCATAGTGACATAAATGACTGTGTATTAAGTTACGGTTGAACTAGTTGCGATATGATTTGCAACTTCCCGTTTCCAACCATTTATTGATGTCAGTAACGTCCCTGTTTATATTTAATTCAACCATAAAAAAATATCCACAAGGAGCATACGTCATACCCACTGAATCCGAAAAAGAAACTAGGCGGGAGCCGAGAGTATAATCATCTATTACATTACTATCTCGCTCTTTACTAGTTTCATTGTGAATGTTATATTTTTTATTGGCAATCACTTCAGTAACGAAACACTTTACCAATAATATCTTTCTCAGTTTTGTATGTGACATTTTTAAATAAACAATTATTCTCGAACTGGAAGAACATAAATTCAGAAATAAATAAATATAGTATTGTTACGACAGCGGAAG